TGTAAATACTCTGAAGGTAGAAGTCAAACATCAAACATTCTTTTGGATGCCATCTCACTAAGAGTTAAAGTTTCTAGGAGTTATGGCATCCTCATGTATTGTTCTTGTTCATTCTAGGAGACCAGCCTAAATATATCCACTATTTCTTGACATCTTGTATTATACTGACAAGACATGTACAATCCATCCACTTAGAAAAAGTATTAATTTTTATTGTAGAATAACTAGGGCAATAATACATTGGTGGATATTTTATGTAAATAACTAGCCTGTATAGGAAAAAATCTATTTTAATAATCTTTCTGACAATTGTCCAGATATAGTCTTAATTTCTAGACCAGCATAATTGGCTGGTTTATGTTTCTCACATGATGTCTTTATCTCAAAAGATACTTCCAGGCAGCCTGTTTTCCATTGGACTGATATATAGGTATAACTTTCCAGTCCACACTACAATGTACGTTAAAAATTAACCTGAGAAATGGGTCAATAGAAGTCTCTTTATAATTTTTACTTACCTGATAAGCCCATGAAGCTACATGGCTATAAACTCTGTAGCTGGAAATTTACCTTCCTATGCCAGGTTTCTCAGTCATCTTCATGATGATGGCTTAAACTCTCCTTTGATATCTGATTTAATTTAATGAATCATATTCAGTAACATTAAGACTCTCAACATTATAATTTAAGAAAAGAAAAGATTTTTAAATATTTTATAAGATCTAATGGGTGTCTCTGGGGTCCTATTTTCCCCCTTTTCTTTATTTAATAAAATTGAGTAAAGGTTGGTGTCAGCCATAGTATCATCATTTTAAGTTATAGATAATGGTACAAGTATTTAAATGATAAAAATAGATTTATCTTTTATTGATTATTGTAAATTTTTAATATAGACTAGTTGAGTCATCCTAACAATTTAGAAAGAACCCTCAATCTCTCTTTGAGAGAAGGTCTCAAAATATCTCTATATTTTAGAATAGTATCCTTTAAATAGGTGTCTCTTAATCATCTTTTAGAAAATAATGATTAAGGTTACTTCTCAGTATAGAGAGTAATATATAAATATTACCATATTTTTTGTGGATAATAGGTCCAGTCAGGGAACTTATATATATCATCAATAAAATTTTAACAAGGTTTGCAACCTTTATTGCTCAAAACTAACTCAGAACTTTAATTTGGAGAACCTCAGTTCTAATAAAATGTCCTTCCAAATCTCATGATTATCCAACAAACAAAATATGTAAGAATCAACAGTGTCTTTGAATCAATCAAATTTAGACTCCAAAGAGAATTGTCAAAATTGGGATCTAAGTCAGCAGTTTAATATATTTAGTGTTTAATTAAGGATGTGTATTTATTCATCAAAATTAATCCTTGCCTTAAATAGTAAGAATCATTAGGCAATAAAGACCTTCCTTACAGGAAACAAACTTAATGCTTTAATAGGTCTTTATCATGTCAAAATATGGGCAAATCTTAGCTCATATCAGCATAGTAAAATCAGGGAAATGACCTGAAATATCCTTACAACCAGTCCAGTACATATAAATCTTTTTCTTAATTGTTTTATTTTTTCTAAATCATCATCTAGATAATGATATAAAGATCTTTTTATTTAGGAAAATACTTTTATCATTAAAATCTAGAATATAAAGACCTTGTTTAACCCAAAGATGATTTTTTTTCTTTTTACCCAAAGATTATTTTTTTTTTTTCTTTTTCTTAGGACCGCCAATGTGTGCTTCCTCTTTGTTGAAGCATTGTCTTTTTCTTTTAGAATTTTTCCTGTTTATATTGTGGAATAATTTTTGAAAACCTTAGAATCTAAATAAATTTGTGTACTTTGATAAGAAGAAATATCAATGAAAATATAGTTAAAGTCCTTGGATATTATAGTAGACAGAATTATACTTGTTTTATCATCTTATAAAAGTTTGTGCAAGGGCTGGGATTGTGGCTCAGCGGTAGAGCGCTTGCCTGGCATGTACGAGGCTCTGGGTTTGATCCTCAGCACTACATAAAAATAAAATAAAGATATTGTGTCCAACTACAACTAATAATAAATATTTTTTAAAAGTTTGTGCAATAACTTTGGCAATTAGAAATTACTTGAAAGTTGTATTCTCTCTTGAAAGCAAATTTATAGTAAAATACATTTATCTCAAATATCTGTAACTAAAAGGCAGAGCATCAGATAAATGCATGTATAAAATGTACAAATTATGGGTTTTCTATTGAAGAAAAACAATTAGATAAATATACATTAATTAAACAATCAGACATGTTAGATGAATAACTATAGGTTATCTAGAAAAATACATATTAAGAATAAGGGCATAACATCATTGTATTAACTTCATGTAAACAAGTGGTTCTTAGATATTTGGATCCATTTCAATTTTAACTAGAAGTGCACTCTTATATGTGACATCATGTAATGTAGATGAAATAAGATCTTTGTGTATACATTTATTTTTTGTAATTATATAGTCAGGAATGAGAATAAGGTTTTTTGGTCATCACAGGAACATTGCCAGCTTTTGTTCCTGTGGAGAGTAAATGCATCCCCATAACCTCCAAAATTAAAAGCAAAATATAAAGAAGCATGTTTGATATCTCTCATCAATAGAACATTATTTAGTAACACAACCATAGAGAAAAGTCAGGTTATTTAACTCGAAAATAACTTAAAATTAGGGCTGCAACGTAGAAACCTTTGGAATAGATTTTGTCTGAAAAAATATCTTTCGTTAGCATTTACAGGTGGGCATTTTTTAAAATGCAGGCTCTGGGTAGCTCCCGGTAGCAGGTCTGAAACAGGAAGTACAGGCTATTGGATGGAAGGCGGGAGCAGAAGTCCTGAGTGACAGTGGAAGAACCAATGGGAAGCCCATGAAAATGCAGAAGATGGGACCAGGAAGCCTGCTCCTCCAGACGGGTGGCAGGCGGTTACCATGGTGACAGAAACAGCATGGAGCCCTTGCCCATTGTCCAGGGCAAAGGGACCCTGAGTTTCCTTAGCTGAAATGCCAGATTCGTGGGACCCCAATAGGCCTCCAGGAGCCAAATCCAATGCAATCACACAGAGTCTTTATTGCAAGCGGGAGCCTGGACTCACAACCATTTCTGACACAGCAGTCCTGAGGAGTGAGTCCTGGTCCTTTGTTCAGCGAGATTTTATAGGTTTTTGGAGATACCCTATGTGTCACAACATCACACAGCAAATCATTTCACACTGCGGGAAAATCAAACAACAACTCTTAATATTGATTAGCACATTCACTGGCGGGAACAAGTTGGGTAGGGGTGATTGGTTAGTACAAAAGAGGGATTCATTTGAACTGATGGGTTTAATCTGTGATGGGTGTACATGCTAACTATATGGTTTCCCAACATGTTATCAACCACCAAGACTACTGGAGGGGTCATCTGGCATCCCAGGTGTTTTTCCTGTCTCATGCTAATTGGTGGTTGCTAGGGGGTGTCAGGGACACCTGGCATGGCAGATCTCTCCTGTTATTTATAGACAAACAACTCAGCAGGGTGGCTATGTACCTGGGAGTGCTCTGTGGGTTTTTCCAAGGACAAGGATCAAGCCCCCTCCCTTTGGACAGGCCTTGACGTAGAAGCTGGGTTTTCAAAAACCCAAACTGGAATATGATCCTTTCCTTGCAGTGCCCTCCTCTTCTTCCAGGCCTGAGGACTGCCAGGGGTGAGCTGGACTCCAGGTGAGCAGTGTGATGGACTTCCAGACGCTGAACTCCAAAAGGAGTGTTGGCCAAGCCCTGTGCTGGCTGCCTATTGATTCTGCAGACCCTCCAGCAAGGTACACTCCGGGGTACAGTTTCAGTTAAAGAGCACCCCCCAGAAAAAAAGGTGTACTTGTTTTTAACATATAACATTTGAGACTTTAGAAAAAGTGAAACAAGCCCATATTTTTAAAATCCCAAGAGCACAAAAGACTAAGGAGAGAAAACAATTCCCCTGGCCACAAACACTGGTCTCAAGAGGCATCCACCATTGACAAGTGCCAATGTGAGGCGATATTCTGATAATGGCCTTTCTGTGCCTGTTCTTCCTTTGGACAGCGGGGATAATGACACATTATGAGGTGCTTGAGGGCCAGGTGAGCGGATCTTTGCAAACAGGGAGGACGTAACTTGCAGCCTTCCCTCCCGCTTGACAGACTTGTCACTACCTGCTTCCAGGAGATGGTGCCTGCTTTACAAACCGGCCTAGTTCCTCCAAAACGCTGCAGAGCATGCTGGTGCCTGAGAGACTTCTTATGCAATTGGTCCCCGTGGGGCCAGGAGGGTTGCTTCTGTCTCTGGAACCCACCAGCACTTGCCACAACAGGCAGGAGCTAAAGGTGGCCCGAGAGGGTGCGTTTAGACCTTGAGTAAACCTTCCTCCTCACCTCCAGAGGATTTCCACCCAACACCCCCAGCCTCACCCTGAAGGGCCCGGATTCCTCACCTACAAACAACCTCCATCACGGTTGCATAATTAGAATCGCAACTTGGCACAGAGAAAAAAAAAGTTGCCCTCTGCCAGAGCAAGACAACCAGCAGCCGGCATGGTGGTTTTAATATAGAACATACAGATTTTAAAAATAGAATGCCCTTTCTTTTTACGTGGTGTATGCTATGTTCACGATTCGTATGTTATATAACCGTGACGCTACGAAAGACAGCCTCACAGCACTCATGGCTGCACACACATGTCCTTTGCACCGGAAGGTGAGGGAGCAGGGGTGCAAGGAGCTTCTCCTTGTCCAAGGGCACCCTCTCCATCACCTCCCGAGTCCTACTGCTCCCGTTTTACAGATGAGGAAACTGAGGCAAGGTCAGGTGGCCTGTCAGACACCTCACGGGGCTGGCAGAGGGATTCCATCACAACTGTGCCTGAGTCTGGACGTCCTGGGGACACGGGATCTGCGCACACCGCCCCACTCCACCGCGCTCCAGCACCCACCGCCCCGCCCCGCCCCCAAGCCCCGCCCCACGTCCGCAGCCCCAGCCCCACGAGTCCCTGCCCCGGAGGCGTTCCACCGCCCCCAGGAAGCCCTGAGCCCCTGAAGGCGGCTGGGCAGCTCCTGGGGACAGTGTGCGTGGACCGCGCCAGCTAGGGAGACGCCGGCAGGACCAGGAGCGGCTCGCCCAGGGGTGGCCACACAGGCTGGGCTAACCCGAGGGGCCTGTGGTGGCCACCTCCCACTAGGGCCGCACGGGCATCCCACAGTCCAGAGATAGTGAGCTGCCGCAGCACAGCTTCGCAGCAGCTGCCCTCCAGCTGTACACCTGGACTCGCCTGAGGTAAGGGGCAGGCCTGTACCCTCAGGATTTGTTCCCTCATCTGCCTGGGGGGCTAAACTCCAAGGGACCTGCGAACCAAAAGTGAAGCTGGGTTCCGAGAGAACAAGGCCATCTGTGAGCTGGAACTATGGCTGGGGGAAGGAGACAGTGGGGATCCACAAGGTTAGTTTGTTTGCCACCTGGCAAATCGTCCTGCAATTCAGCAGTTCCAGTGACCCTTGCACTCGGCCTGCCCTCAGGGCAGTGGGGCTGTTCACCCTCCTCTCAGAAGTGCAGATGCAGGGCTGGGGACCCAGTGCACAGGCCCTCAGGAGCTCACCCTGCCCCTCCTGTGATCCAAGGCACTGGCATGGAGCCTGAGAGCAGCCCCCTGACCACACACGTGCTAGATACTGCGTCTGGGCTCCCAGCCCGCGGCCTGCGCCTCCACTTGTCTCGGCTTGAGGACCTCAGCCAGCAGTGGACAGAACTGAAGAAAAGGTATGAGACAGGCCCTGGGGCTGGGTGGAAATCCAGAGCTCCTGCTCCCCCAGCACCAGCCCTTGCTGAGTCCCACCCAGCCAAGGAGTGCAGACCAGCCCCTCAGCCTTAGAGGCACACAGGTTCCCAGCCTGGACCCTCCCTACTGACTCTGAGCCTCAGTTCCTCACGTGGGATCAGGGCCATCCTAGCAGGTGTGAGTGTCCTGGGACTCAAGTTTGCTGAGGCCTGCTGGGGTGGGAGCACTAGGTCTCTCCACCAAGTCCATGGCCTGAGGTGGCATAGCACTTAATTTCTGCTCCTTTTATTCTCCATACCTCCTCTGGACAGGAACCATAATACCCTTTTACAGGTGGGAAGATGGAGGCAGGATGAGGTAAAAGGCTTCCAAGCTAGGCCTGTGATCCTCAGCCTGGACTACACACACACTCTGCTGGGTGGGGGCGTGGGGGCTTCCAGTCTCAGGTGCTGCAAACCCAGTTTGGCAGAGTTGTGGCCCTGGAGCTGGCCTTGTGAGCAGGTTCATCCCCATGACCCTCCGTCTTGAGGAAGGCAGGCATGTCTTGTGGCAGGAGTGGGGAGCCCAGGGAAGGTAGACCCAAAGGTTCAGGGTCTAGGGTGCGGTTGTTGCTTCCCTGCTAAGCTCTTCACAGAAGCTGGGGCGTGAGGGACCCAGGCCCACCGTGAGTGAGCACAGTGCTGCTCTGGCCAGGAGCCACTGCAGGGTTAGAGGGAACCATGCACACCAGACATGCAGTTCCCTTCCTAAACACTGTGGGACACTCTTTAGGTCCAGCTGGTATGAAGAATGTGGGGGCATTAGAGGTGATAAGGCAAAACTGCAGGCCTTCAAAACACTCCATGAGAGATCAGCCCACTTAACATGGACCTTCCATCCCGTTGGAAACAGGCCACCACATAGATGTATTGTTATTGACCCAGAAAGCCATGATCAGTAAATTATATTAAAACACAGAAAACACCATGAATCATAATCTATGGTGCATTTTAAAAAAAACTTGTAAACAAACATATAAACATAGAAAAAAATCTAGAAAAATATGTCAAATACAAAGTGGTAGACTATGGAAGAATTTTTCCCTTTTTGCTTCTGTGTTGGTTTTCTAAATAGGCAGTGTAGCAGTGTCCCTTCAGTTGCCCCACTACCTGCTCAGCCACGTCTGAGTCAGGCTGTGAAGTGTCTGACCCCCACGGGGGTCAGACCCAGGAGGGCTCAGGGAAGCTGGCTCTGCATCTCATCTCAGCAGCCCGTCCTCTCCCCAGCTACACAGACCTGGACGGCCGCTGCCCTGGGCTCCTGAGGCCAGGCCAGATGAAGCCTGGCACCTATAAGCTGTCCTTCGAAACCCAGGGCTACTGGAAGGAGAGGGGGCAGGAGAGCTTCTATCCATACATAGAGGTGAGTACCATGGGGGACAGAAAGGGTGGAGACCCTGACTCACTGACCTGCAGGCCAGGTCTTCGGCCAGGCCTCAAGGACAGACTGGTCCCACCTCTCTCAGGGAGGTGGCAGGCACCTGAGCTTGCCTGCTTTGAGCTCCCACAAGAAAGGGGACCCTAGGACCTCGGGCGTCATGAGACTCCGTGTTGACATGCCCATCCATGAGCTGGGGGTGACTCATCTCTTCTCCATAGACAGTTCTCATCTGCTCCACTCCAACTCCTGGGCCTTCTCCGACTGCTCCCCCCACCCCGATCATCTGGCCTTTTCCACATCCAGCATGCCCAGAGGAGGATTTCTGCCCATCCTCAGCCCTCAGGGAGGTTGCAGTCCACCACTGGGCTCCCGCTGACCCTGCCCCACCATTCAGGCTGCTTTCCCAGGGAGTCATGGGGTCAGGTGGCTCCCGGGTTGTGGTCCCTCACTGTCTTCTGGTGCCTTCACTGCTTCTCTCAGGTTGTCTTCACCATCACAAAGGAGACCCAGAAGTTCCATGTGCCTCTGCTGCTGAGCCCGTGGTCCTACACCACCTACAGAGGGAGCTAGAGCCCAGCCTGGCTAGAGGAGCTATTTACCTATCCTTGCTCTGGCTGGGCTGCCTGCCCAGCCACACTCAGTGGTCACCCACTTCCTTGGGGAGGTTCTGGCCCCCCTCTGGAGTTTCTCAATGGGCAGCTGTGACTTGGGTCAATAAAATCAGTGCTACATCTGCAGAGCTACTTCCAGTGGGCAGCTGTGACTCACTCAGGTCTCTAATGACAGTGCTGCATCTGCAGAACTGCTCCCATCTTTGGGACAGGAGCAATTTATGGATGCTAGATCTCTGCCACCTTGGCCCCCAGGTGAACAAGGGGGCTGTCAGAGAAAGTGCTGCTGAAGTTGGAGGACTCAGGTGTGGTGTGGCACAAGCTGGACGTGCCCCAGGGAAGGAGATTCTCCTGCAGGTGGTTCTCCCCTACAGAGCCCAGCAAGAGGACACAAAGGAAATGTGGAAAATTTTTCATTCACTGATGATAATCTAAAATTTAAAAACTTACTGCCTGGAAAGAGGGGGTCACCTAGGGAGTGTCCCTAATCAGTTCTGTGGGCTGCAGCCCCAAGCATGTAGCTAGGTTGGGGTACCCACAAGTCCTGCAGGGCCCTGACCCAGCGTCTGCCCAATCACCACTGTCTCCAGAGGCTTGAAGCCCACATTGTCCAGAGGGATTCCAAAAGCCAGCAGCTTTGCCTCGTATGTGCGCAGGAGGTCATTATGAGCCTGTGGGAACAAGGCAGTGTCAGGGAGGAACAAGGAGTTGACCCACCCAGAGCTGAGCCCTACTCCATAGAGGTCAGGGCCAGTATCTGTTAGTGGTCACTTTAGGCCAGCTCCGTGCTAACACAGCTGCATGTGTTGCCTGGGGCTTAACACGTGAAGGTATGCTGAGGCAAAGGGAGGAACTCAGCAGAACTGTGGCCTGAGTGTGCCCCCAGCTCCTCAGCAAGCATGTCTCAGCGGGGGCCACTGTTCCCTCCTACCCTTGTCAATGGCCTCTATTCTCTGCTCCCATGGGCATAGCACCGGCATCTCCTAGAAACTCTGCATCTTCACCAGGGCCAGGGCCTGCCTGGAGAAGAGTCCTGGTCACCCCTGATCTGTCCCAAGAGACAAGGCCTGGGAGACAGTGCTGGGGGGCCTAACACAGCCACCATGCCAGAGGTCCCTTCTGCCAGAGGTCCCTTTTTCCAACTGCAGAAAACGCACATTTTTAGAAGGGTTCATATTTCACTGGGTGGTTGTAAAAGCTCAATGAATTGATGTGTGTGAAATGCTTCAGGCCTGGCCTGACTCCGCAAATGCTCAAAAGGGCAGCTGTCCTCACAATGGCTCAGAAATGACTCCAGTGTGGGCAAAGACAGGCTCTAGGGAGAACTGGGGTGTAGACCCTTGAGGTTCACAGCAAATGGCCCTAGCTCTGCACAGACAAATACCAGCATGTGCAGAAAAAGCAGGCAAGGGGCTGGGAGGGTCAGGAAGCCAGGATCATGTGGGTGCCATGGAACCTGGGAACTGGGGACAGTGCCTGCACCCAGGGGTCTCAAAGAAACAGGATGACAGAAACATCTGGACATGTCCCCAAACAACAGAACCAAGAAGTGATATCCACCCCTCGGAGTTAAGGGTGTAACTGAGTTGCACTGGTGGGGCAGCTGCTCTTGGTGAATTCCTCTGCAGACAGAGCAGTCAGCTCAGTCCTAGGCAGGTACAGATACCTCGTGCCGTGTCTGCTCCTCACATGGGGATGGTCCACCAGCCTCATCAAATGACATGTGAATGGGAAATGGATGGGTCCTCAGAGATGGTCAACAGTCACACTGTCTACAGGCTGAAGCCAGATGCCAGGCCATAGCCAAGGGAGGAGGCAGGGAGGCAGGTGCATACCTTACAGACTCGGGCCAGCTCATACTGCAGGTCCTTGATGGTACTATTCTTTGACTCCAGAACATCCTGAGGACAGAGGCAGAGGTGAATTTGGGACAGGTCTTTTGGCCAAGGTGAAGGAGGTGGATGATGGTCTGGGAGCTCCCTTGGGGGTCCCAAGCTCAGGGAATAAAGTCCTGGCTCAATATATGTATGCATCTAGAAAAGGGTGTATCGGAGGAGAAGGTCCCCAAGGGTTGAGAGAAAACAGAATGGGAGGAAGGGGAGAACCAGAGTATGTTCTGTGCCATCCACACCCCATGGAGAAACTGTCTTGATGGTAAGGAATAACATGGGCTACCAGGGACAGCAGAGATCTCACTTTGCAACAGCCTGGCACTAAACAAAAAAACTTACACTTTTACACTTCTTGAATCATGTGGCATTATTATCCAATTTTTAAACAGAAAGAGTAGTCTGTGTAACTTTTAAAAGTAATGGGCCCAGATCTGCAGGGCCCACGCCCCTTGGGATGCTCCCACCTGAGGAGTGCTGTAAGGTGCCAGACTGAGAGTTGGGCCTGGCTCCGAGAAGCCCCCAACCCTCTCTCGCCTCTCTTGAGAGGGACCCTATGGGCACGGCTGCACTTCACTGCCAGGCTACCTGCCTATAAATTGGGATAAGAATAACCAGAGAAAACAAGAGCCAACCCACATTTAGTACCAACTGAAACCCACAGTTAGTTAGTATTCACCTGATTGTGGTGGACAGGACTGATTCTTATCATTGCCATCTCAGGCTTACCTGTCCACAGAGGTGGAACTGTCCCTCTTCTGTGTCCAAACAGCAGGACTTCACTTCTCACACCTACCCATGTTGCAGGTGAGCCTCCAATCCCAGAGACAGGTTATTGCCAGTCCCAACATGGCCCCTCCCCTCCTGTGTTGCTACACCACCCCAGGCCCAAGATCCGGCCTATCCCAGTAACCTGGTCCCACAGGTACAACCAGGGCCCTGCTGCTCTCCTGTAAACACTTGGTCTCCCTGTCCAGAAACAGCCTGTCACCTTGGACCCTCCCAGCCCCTCCTAAATCAGGATAAGTCCTGTGGAGCTGGTCTTTAGTAGCTCTTGGATCTCTGTTCCTTGTCTTGCACTGACATTATCTGCTATCTCTGGCCATGCATTCCCCAGCTGAGGCAGAGGGGGCTCTCTGTGATCAGGCCTCTGTGCCCAGAACAGAGTTGTGGTTCCTGACCAACCCTACACTGACAGCTGACAGCCCGCAGTTGCCCTTAGTCCTGGGTTTCCAACAAACCCTGGGTGTTCTGGGTCTCCTGCTCCCTAGGCAGCCTGGGGTGCTCAGTGTGAGGCCTAGTACTGCATGCAGCCTCAGGTCAGGATGGGAGGGGAGACGGGCAGTGAAGCAAACCAGGATGGAGTGTCGTAAATAGAGATGAGGTACCTAGACACAAAGCTAATTCTTTGGGCCTAGAGTTTTAAACTGTGATGAGCCATCGTAGAAGAGCTGCCTATAGTACAGTCGCATGGGTGCTGAGCATGGCTTTTCCACTCCCAGGCTGTCCCCAGGCCTGTCTCTGAGTCCACTGGCAAGTGACTGAGGGACTCAGTCCTGCAGATTCCCAGAGCAGCTTTTCTGTTTCTAGAATCTCCTCATGATGAGCCACAGGAGAACTGGAATGGCAAGGCTCAGAGTTATGAGGTACCACGAGGTTAAGGAGGGTCAAGCAAGACCCAACAGCAACACAAGCAAAACCCCTCAAAGGAAACTGCAGGCCCAGGCAGGCCTGAGGCACAGACGCCTGCAGGAAACCTGCCCCCCTCCCCGTGGTCACCTCTGGCTCAGGAGGCACAGCACAGGACCAAAGGGTCCCACCACAGGAGACTAGGCTGCCCACTGTAGGTAAGAGTTGGGGCAGCCACCAGCCCTGCCCCCGGAGCCCCTGGGCCTACCTCCAGTTTGCGGGACACGAGTGTCAATGCTGCAGGGTCCAGGTTGGAGGCCGCCAGCACCTCGTTGAACTGCACCTCCCTCTTCTCCATGGCAGCATTCAGTGTCTGCAGCTTGCGTTCCAGCACCAGGTTCTTGAAGCCTGTCTTCTGCTGCACCTCCTGGATGGCTGCAGTGAACTTCCGGTAGAGCTCATCCCGCTCTTGCTGTACCTGCAAGGAGGAGACTGGGGTGAGCAGCAAAGTCCCCCACTGGGACATCTCACTGGGGAGAAGCCACCTCCTACCCTGCCCCTTTGTGGAGCACACTGTTACTACAAAAGGTCACTTATACTGGTGACCACACCTAGAATACATGGTCTATGTGCCATCCACTGCCTGAAACCCCATCTTCTGTGCAGAGTTAAAGGTATGCAACTATCTACACAGAGGAATGCAAGAGAGAAATAGCAGCATGAACCCCCTCAAGAAGCAATGGGGCTGGGCACAGTGGTGCACAACTGTAACCAGAGGCTGAGGCAGGAGGTTCACAAATTTGAGGCCAGCCTCAGCAGCTTAACAGGACTCTGTCTCAAAATATAAAAATAAAAAGTGTTAGGGATGTGGTAGAGCACCCTGAGTTCAATCCCTAGGTCTGCAAAAAAAAAAAAAGGGGGAAGGAGGGGGAAGAGAGGGAAGAGGAAGGAGGAGGAGGCAGAAGCAGCAGCAGTAGTGGGGTGTGCTAAGAGGAGATGTACCCGATTGCCCCCATGTGAGAGCCTGTCCCTCTGCAAACAGGCAATATTTGCGGAGAGCCCTTGGAGTTTCCTACATATTGACATATTGATTCCTTGCCATCAATATGTCCTACAAGGCAGGTCTAAAGCAAGCCTTGCAGCAGCAGTCTGTCAACCAATAAGTAAAAATGTCTCTTCTCCCCTTCTATTTCTTTTTTTTTTTGGTACCAGGAATTGAACCTAAGGTTACTTAACCACTGAGCCACATTGCCAGCACTTTTTTTTTTTTTTGAGACAGTGAGAGAGAGGGGGGACAGAGAGAGAGAGAGAGAGAATTTTAACATTTATTTATTTTTTCTTAGTTCTCGGTGGACACAACATCTTTGTTGGTATGTGGTGCTGCTGAGGATTGAACCCGGGCCGCACACATGCTAGGCGAGCGCGCTACCGCTTGAGCCACATCCCCAGCCCCTATTTTTTAGTTATTAATGGACCTTCATTTTATTTATTTATTATTATATGGTGCTAAGGATCGAACCCAGGGCCTCGCACATGCTAGGTGAGCGTTCTACCGCTAAGCCACAACCCCAGCCCCAGTAAACACTTGTTTAACCCCAATGCCCAGAGGCCACTACTGTGATCATTTGGTATGACTCCTTTCAGAATGTTCTCATCACTGTTAGTAAAGGAGGATCATGCTACATCATTGCAACTTTCCACATAGCAGCATACCCTACAGCCTTCCAAGCAGAGAGTACCATATCCTCCCCAACTACTGTGCCGAGTCCCATGGATCTGCCTATATTCAATTCCTTGTCAGAAACCTGTGGATCATTAGTCTCTAGATTTTGCCAACAAATATGAATTCCTGGTTCTCTGAGACACTGACTGGCACACATCATGAGCCATATTCATGTGCAAGATGCAGCAGAGAACAGGATGCAACCCAGACATGTTTTTGCTCTGTACCTCCCATTAATGCTGGCCACCAAATTCACAGGAAGGAAGAAGGGAATAGCAGGACTCAGACAAGCCTAGGGGTCAAGGGACTGTCTGCAGGTCATTGGCTGCCAATGGCAGAGCCCAGTGATCCACACCCTGTGAAACCCTCAGCACCTCTGAAGGTGAACTAAGACCTGACACAGATGCAAGGCTCCTGAGAGGCCTGCTATGGGGAGATGGGGCCAATTCATTATTGGTCTGCATCTGTGAACTCTCTAGTGACTATGGCTTATGATGAAATGCTGAGCCATGTGAGCCACAGACTCAGCATAAGGGTCCTGTGATGCAGGGTGATCCTTGGCCAGACGTTCAAACCACAGAGGCAGGAAGTAACATTGCAAGAGACAGCAGACCTGCACTATCCATGAGAAGTGTCTGCCCAATCCTATGAGCAAAGGAGGAAGTTCATCAGCTCTAGAGTAGGCAGGAAGGAGCAGGATGTGGCCCTCAGGCAGTGCTGTCAGGAGCATCACCCAGAGCAGCCCTCTTAGTGACTCATCTAGCACAGACCCCTCTGACCCAGCACTCCACTGCAAGGACTGATCACACAGAGCAGAATGAAATGGAAAGGGTGATTGCAACAACAATGAAGTAAGAACAAAGGACTGGAAACAGAACAGCTCCTCAAGGGGAACTATAAACTAGCAGATGCAGCTGTCACAAAGAACGAGGCTGCTGTGTGTGTGCAGCCTGGACAAACCGTGAGATGAAAATGCAGGTTGCTGTTGACATGCTCCCACTTTGTAAACCACGGAGCCACATCTATGCTAACGGATGCAGGAAGAAGCCTGGAAGGTGGCTCACAGAACCATCAGCTCTTATGGGGACAGCACTGAGCAGCTGCTTCACTTACCCTCAGGATCCCAGCGTGTAACAGGCTAATGCTCAGAAACACACTCATGCAGTGGGAAACAGCTGCTGCCTGGGCCAGGCCTCCTCCATGTACAGAAGTCAGCTTCTGAAGGGACAGGGAGGCACTCCCCTTGAGGTCCCAGGCCTTGTACAATGCCAGGATGGCTTTTTGTTTTTCTTTTTGTATTCTGTGGTGCTGGAGATGATTGAGCTACACCCCCAGCCCTTCTTATTTTTATTCTTACACAGTCTCACTAAGCTGCCCAGGCTAACCTGAACCTGTTTCAGCCGCCTCCAGAGTTGCAGACAAGTGTCACACACCAACACCACCACAGTCTTTTGACTCATAAAAGCTGAGTGGACTGAGAAGCAGGCAAGAGAATCTCCAGCTCCCAGTCCCAGAGACAGCCAGGGCCTCAAGCCTCACCAACCTTGATGAACCGCTGCTCCAGCACCTCATGCTCCCACTGCAGGTCTTTCAGCTCTTTCTCAGTAACCTTCAAACGTGCTGTTGTGCTCTAGAGAAAATACAGGGAGTGGGACAGAAAGCATTCAGATTCACAAGTATCCATGTACCACAAGCTTCTGGAAGACAGCAAGGCCAGAAATAATCTCCAGGAACAATTGGCTGGAAAACTTCCAACAGCCGGGCCCCACCTAGGCTGGCTGGTAGGATAGTGGAAGACTAGGGCCTCATCCCCCTTAGCACCCTCAATGGAAGTAAAGAGTCCAGCCTCCCTTTTCCTTCCCACCCTCAGGAGATGCCCCCAGATGTGCCCACTTTCCTGAGGCCAGGAATGCATGTGCCAAGGAGGGAGGAACTCAGCAGGGAACTCACCACCAGGATCTGCTTGTCCCTCTCATACTTCCCAAGCTTCCTCTGCATCTCGTTCATCTCCTCCCGTGCCTTTTGCAGAGGGTCTGCCAGACGCCTGTTCTGCATAGACACCTCTGCCATTTCCCTCTCCAGGTGTTCTTCCTTCTTCCGCATGTCCTCCATCTGCTCCTATGGGCTCAGGTGCAGGTGCAGGAGGGGCTCAGCCTGTGGAGCATAGACTGGGTGCTCTCCTGACCACACATGTCCTTCCAGCCTCACATACGCTGGGGACTTAGGCTTGCTTTGTGTATAAACTGTATTTTGCAAAGCCTAAACTTATTCTGAATTTTCTAGGAATGCAGCTTCCATACAAAATGAGAGCCTGCACTTTGTTCAGGATCCACCAGGACTGCTCTTCACCATGGAAACCCTGCCACTGCCAGCATCTGAGGGACCATGACAACCGCCCACTCTGGCCACACTGCAGCCATGCCATGGTGCCTGGGTGTTAATGTGTCAGGATACCCTGTTACTGCTTCACAGCAGTTAGGGAAACTGGAATTTTGTTTGTTTATTTGTGGCGCTGGCGATTGAACCCAGGGGTGCTCCACCACTGCACTACATCCCCAGCTCTTTTTATTTTTTATTTTGATACAGGATCTTGCTAAATTGTCCAAGCTGGCCTCAAACTTGTGATCTTCCTGCCTCAGTCTCGCAAGTAGCTAAGATTATAGGCATGCACCACCACACCTGGCCTGCTTATTCTCAATTATGGGTGGAGATAAGTTACATTACTTACATATTTCAATTGAGGGTAGCAGAGGGGCTCTGTCCAGTGCATTTACAGAAAGGGGTGTTGGGTCCAGGGGACTGTGAGAGCTGGAGTCTGCAGCCCACAACAAGGACAGGCAGAGAGTGTCTACGGGCCCAACCCAGGTGAGCACCTTGAGGGAGTTGATGAGGGCCAGGTTGTTGAGCGTGATATCGTTGTAGTAGTTCTTGATGTCAGTGAAGGCCTCCTCGTGACGCCGCATCAGTGTGTTGATCTGGCCGTTCTTCCTCTCCTCCACCTCGTGGATCTCAGTCTTTCTCCGCAGGTCAAGCTCATCCCTTAGCACCTTCATCTTTTTATCATACTTGGCCTCAATTTCTGAAAGGAAGCAGCACATACAGCAGCTTAGCAAAGGAAAAAAAAGTGCCGTGTGGCTACAAGAATAGATGAAACCTGGAAATAGGGCCCCAGAACTGCCATGATGGTCAGAACAAAGGTTGTGCAAACAAGCTCTGCCAAAGAACAGGAAGGGCTTAGGTGAGCTTTTCCTGCTAAGGCTCAAGGGGACACACTCAGCGCAAGGGCCACTGCTGGCCCTCCTTTTCCAATGACAACGGGCATATCAATGCCTGCACTGGGGCTCCCAACACTGTCAGCTGACCCCAATGGGCATTCAACAGCTAGCCACAGACTACAGGGCTGGACTTCTGAAATCTGAGGCTTCTCGGTCAGAAGACTATTTGAAAAATGCTGCCCACAAGACTGAATAACTCGTGCCTGCTGTTAACTACTGATTTTAGACAGGAGTGGGGAAGTGTGAGGTATCCACAGCCTCCCAAACTCACACAGAAATAGTTGTTCTGGGATTCTGAGTGGGTCCATTCTCTCCCTGTGTGTGTGGGGGGGGAGGGCTATTTTAATCTGCTTATCATGCTCTGAATTAACAAGCTCTGGAGGCAAATTACTTTCTGATGAAGGTAGGTCTCTGACACCATCTTACCAATGTGCATATTAGGAACTGACCTCGAACTTGCCTCTCAAAGTCATTCCGCATCTTGGTGATCTCCTCAGCATGTTTCTGCCAGGTGAAGAATAGCAAGTTACTAGACAGTGAAGCAGAGAGGGGTGCATACCCTTCAGGCCAACCCTGTTCCTCCCCCCTAAGAAAAGTTCAGCTCAGTAAACCCCATGCTGCTTATGCTACTGGTTGCTGGGTTCCCCTCCCCTCTAAGTTCATGGAATCTGCCCAGAATAACATGGTTTTGGTAATCTCCACATTTCATAAGTCATCTCCCTGAGCAAGATCACCTCTGAGCCTGGAAGATATAACAGATCTGAGTACTGGACAGCTTGGTTTCCTCCTGGTGCCTTCCCATAGGCTGGAGAACAGCCACTTCTACACAGAGCTACAGCTGCTTCCAGGAGCCTCAAATAGCTCCTGCAAACCCACCTCACTGTTGCTCAGAGCAACATTCAAAAATTATGTTCATAAACAATTATTATGACAGGCACAGAGGCACACACCTATAATCCCAGTGACTCAGGAGGTTATGGTAGGACAATCACAAGTTCAAGACTATCCTGAGCAACTTAGTGAGACCCTGTCTTGAAAGAAAAAAAATCTTTAAAAAAGTCTGGGATGTAGTTTAATGGTACAGCATCCCTGGATTCAATTACTAGTATTGAAATAAATAAATAAATATT